TTTTCGGCGGCGTGTGCCCCCCCCCGCGCCCCCCCTTCGTGGGGGATCTCGGGGGGTGGGGGGGGGGGGGGGGGGAGAGTTGACTAAGATTGTGAGCGTAAGAGTGGATGTGAATTTTCTCGTCTCACCCACAGCCACTCACACCTTGCTTGTTTGAAATATCAGTTATATGATCGTGTTTTAAGTTGAAAATGATCGTATAAGATCGAAAATTCCCGTATTTTCGTTAAATAAATTGATTCGAAACTATGTAGAAATTGACTTTCATTAATTGATATCTGCAATACAATTTTATAAATTCATTTTAAAACTGAAGCTAGGTGTATCTGGGTGTGGGTGTGGGTGTGGGTGTGGGTGTGCGGTGTGGGTGTGCGGTGTGGGTGTGGGTGGGTGTGTGGGTGTGGGTGTGGGTGTGGGTGTTGGTGTGGGTGTGTGGGTGTGTGGGGTGTGGGTGTGATTCTTTCCATAACCCACACCCACACCCACACCCTATCGGAACTGATGAGCGTTAAACATTGAATATATGCTAAGAGATCGGAGGTGTATAGACCACGATGACGAAGAAAACACACGCGTCCACGACCAACACTCGTACCCAACCTTGCAAAGCAGTCTAAATGGGTAAGAACTTGGTGGGGTTTTCTAATGGAGCTGAATCTTAGTCAATTGTTCTGTTTCAAATTAGAGAAGTTTGAAAATTTTTCAATAAATACTACTTGTTCAGGTGACCAGTTTTCGTAGCGAACATTTTCTCTTCTTCTGTTCTATTTTTCAAAAGATTGCCACAGAAAAATGCTAATTTTGACATTTTTTGAGGTCAAATATCTCTATGAATTTCAAACAGATGTTTCATTGTTATCAGTGCTTGATAATTGTCAAACAGTGCTCTATTCAATACTAAAACCTGAAGGTTTGTAGCTTATTTCAAGTCCGAATGGCAAACTCATTCTTGGAACCTATTTTCTGTGTTTCAACTTTGTACTCCTCTCAGGGATAAATCAGGGGTTTTCTCAAAATCTGTCTTATAATAGATCTTCATCAGTACAGCTATCATAACAATTCCTGAAGTTTTTGTTTTTTCTTAAAAATTCGAGATCGGTTAGGGGAGTGCAAAATTGAAAAAAAATCTAAAATAGACCCCAAAGATGCTTCAGTCACTCGGTTTTGGAATAAGATACAGACCTGTATGTTTTAGCGTTGGACAGATCACAGTTTGATGATTGTAAAGGAGTAATAACAATGAAATATCTGTTCGACACTTGTAGATATTCAAGTCAAAGAAAAGTCAAAACTAGTATTTTTCTGAAAAACAGAACACGATGGAAAATATGTTTGCTACAAAAAATGATAAGTTGAACAAGTAGCATTTATTGAAAAATTTTCAGACTTCTCTAATTTGAAAGAGGATCTAGTTAAGGTTCAGTTTAACTAGGACACTAGATCTTGCACTCCTGCATGTGGATCATTTTGCAAGGTTTTCAAATGCTTGTGACCTACGACTATGCTTACACACCCAAGTCAAACAAGTTCAGGTAGTTTCATTACATTCGCAGAAGATCGATGTAGATTTTGATACGTTCTCGAAAGAATCACCCGGTTGTTATGGAGGAATAGGAAATGTAAGTAAGCCGTTTTCATTGACAACTTTAAGGGTGATATTGATGATCGTCTTTACAATTTAACGCTTTGTTATCCCAATCTAACCGTAATTAAAGAAAAGATTTTCTTTTTAGATCAACACATGAAATCTAAAAACCACTTAAAAATGTAAATTCAAACGTTCATTCAATATTACCAAAACCAGTTCAAGATCGTATTGAAATGACGTTTAGAACTGAAATTGGGACACCAGCTTTATTATCATTTGAAATTGATTCAAATCAAATGCCATTAAAAAAAAAACAATTAGATACAGCCTATAAAGTTTAAACAGAATTACCAAGTTTAATTACTAGTGAAGCTGTGACATCCGGCTATTATTGATGCAACTAATCGATTTTATGCTTATGAGTATTTAAAATATTAGCACTGAACAAATTTCTATTTTTATTCGAATTCATTCATTCATCAAATTAAACATTTTTATAAACTGATAATTTAGTGTTTTTCATAGACAAAAAGAAGAAAAGAACTTTTGCGCAATGATCAAAAAGTCGCTCACAAATGAGAGAGTTGGATCTGATGCAAACATAATCTCAAGGTATTGTTTCAATAAATCTTTAGAAAATATTTATGAATCTATGACATTTATCAAGAGGAAACTTGGTTCTATATCGATATCAGTCTTTCATAGCTTTGTTTTGTTTTTACTGAAAAGCAGATTTTTTCCTAATTTTTCGATAATTATTCTATTTTCTATTTGATAAGAAAATTCTCATAAAAGATTAGTTTTAGTTTTGTTGATAAAAGGAATGGATCCTCCAATTGACAAAGGTAACAATTCAGATGATTATAGAAATTAATTAGAGATCGAATCCAAAGTCAAACTCATTATCAGATACTAAATTATTCGTTTCGAAAACTGTTCAATGGGTTTAAATAGTGTCGAAGATTCAATTGTTCACGTGTTTCTGGAATTTCGTAGGTCATCATAGGAATGTTTCACGATTCGATTAGATTTGAGTGTGCATATTTTTAAAGATCGTTAAAGTCAAAGATGAAACTGGTTACCGATGCAGGTTTCAGGCCGGTTCTATCTCTGATTGAAGCTATTTCGAGGTATCGGTAGTCCTTTAACTGTTGAATAATTTTTTTAAAATACTTTCTAGACTTTCCATTGTCAAATTGAAAGTTCTCTCATTCTTTCATCTATTTTTACTCCCCTGCGTTAATTAACGAAAGTCGAAAAAGAATCTCAACGTATAAGTTAGATTGATATCTAATAGGAATCAAACGTATACAACAAAAAAACAACGAAAAAATCTTGTGTAGTTACTTTAATTTATTCATCGTGTTAAATTGGGTTTAGTTTTAGTGATTCCACATGGTTTTGGTATGGCTTCACCACTTTTACTTGATAATGCTGAATTAATAAAAACTAAAATCGAAATGATTAATAATTTACGTAAAATTGAAATATCTTGTTCAAGGTTATATGAACCAAACAATACAGTAGAAAGTAATGAACATCTAATACATACTTATTATAAGAAATTAAGATGTAATTTTGAATCAGTTGATCATAATTCGGACGAATCTAAACTTATTGGACAACATATGATTAATACTCATGCTAAAACTCATAATCAATATATATTAAAATTACGTGAAGTATTTAAAACAACACGTGGAGAAGAATTTGATTGTTTTAAGAAATTTAAAAAATTTGATAATCATCAATTATTGTTCTATGCTTCAAGAACAACTGATTTTACTGATATTCTCTTTATCAAGATTTTTAGATTTCATCATCTGAAGCATTTGTTGTAAGTTTGACTTATTTTTAAATAAATAACTATTGGTTTTACAAATCATATTTTAGACTGTTTATAAGTTTGGTGAAGGTATTCATTTTTCTGATATGATTTCAAGAAGTGGTAAGGTTTTTTTATTTATTTAAATTTAATCTAAGTAAATAATTTAGCAAACTATTGTTTTGCATCAAAACAATCTTCTAAAGTCTTAATATTTTATTATGTGAACTAGCGTTTGGAAAACTACATGAATGTTATAATCCAACTGTTTTATACAAGGGGGAAAAAACGGAATCCTGGAATCCTGGAATCTTACAGAATCATGGAATCTTACGGAGTTGGATGGAATCTTATGGAATCCGATGGAATCTTATGGAATCCGATGGAATCTTATGGAATCCGATGGAATCTTATGGAATC